GATATTTACCATATATCCCAGGAGTTATCAAACACAAAAATTATGAACTTCTTAACTTCCCAGGGAGGTTATCAAACACAGAAACCATGAACTTCTTAAGTAACTTCTAATTTACAGTTCTTCAGGAACTTCCAACTTGCAGTTCATGAACTTGCTTCCAGTTATCAAACAGACCCTTAAGATTTCTACCATTTTTATGTCGCACACAGAATTAGAGCTAGGTGGGCTAAGTGGAGATGAGCAACTAAAACTTTATGTGATCGCTGCATACCAATGAGGCTGAAGGGCAAGTTCTATAGGACAGCAGTGAGACCAACTTTACTCTATGGGGTGGAATGTCGGGCAGACAAAAAACAATATACCCATAGAATGAGTGTAGCGGAGATGAGGATATTGAGATGGATGAGTGGCAAGACAAGAAGGGATAGAATTCAAAATAACTATAATCGAGAGAATTTAGGCATGACACCAATAGGCGATAAAATGAGAGATAATAGACTTAAGTGGGCTACCCATGTGTGGCACCGACCAAGTATAGCACTTGTTAGGAGGTACGAGTTAGATCAAGTGGAAGGATTGAAAAGGGCAAGGGGTAGGCCCAAAATGACGTGGTTGGAAGTAGTCCGAAAAGATTTGAGGACTTATAGCCTCACTAAGGAAATGACCTTTAATGGAGCAAAATGGATAACCAAGATTCATGTAACTGACCCTAATTAATTGGAAAAAAGGCTAACATGATGATGAGGATGAAAGAAATCCCCATTCTACTTCTCCTAAATTCATACCTTCTACTTCCAGGGTCCTTAGAATACCTCTCAAAGCTTTTCCGGTTTCTCTTAAATTGCCTAAAAACCAGTAAGTCTTGTAAGTCATGAGAAAAAGAATAGGCTTAGGATGCAGCTAGGACCAAAAATTGAAATACAAAATTTTAAGAAAAGGACTTTTAGAAAATATTGCAGGTCAAAGAATGAGTAAACTTTCCAAGATCAATAATAAATAGAGTTGAGATTGTACTCATTTGCCAAGACTTGCAAGACATGGCCTTAATCATTGATGTTATGTGCTTCACCTTCAATTGGATCTTAGGACATTAGCAACTGACAAGCAGTAAAGAATTTTGTAGTCTAGAATAGAATTTTTTAGGGTTTAAACCTAAACCCTAAGGCCAAGATCCAATAGAAGGTAAATTCTTTATTGCTTGTCTCAGTTTTTGATGTTCTAAGATTCAATAAAAGGCAAAACACAGAGCATGATTAAGTCAATGTCTTGCGAATGAGTACAATATCAACTCAATTTATTATAGAGCTTTGAAATTTTACCCATTTCCTTTACCTGCAAGATTTTTTAAAGTCCTTTTCTTGAAATATAATTTTCTAATTTCTTATCATAGCTGCCATCCGACCTTAATCTTATTCTTTTTTTTGGGACTTACAGAACTTAGTGGTTTCCAAGCAACTTAGAGAGAAAATAGAAAAACTTTGAGAGGGTATCCTAAGGATTTTAGAAATAGAAGGTATGCGTTGAAGAGAACTAGAACAAAGATTTCTTTAGAGAGTTGAAACATAAAAAATGTTTCTGAATTAGAAATTTAAGGGTAGGAACTAAGGAAAGAAGAATGAGAAGAAATATTAGGAAAACAAATTACTCAATGGCACATTTGTAGCCTATATTAAATCTGTATAGGAGGGGCACAAGAAAAGTTTACTATACCAGGCCATGGAAGCAATTTTTCCCTTTATTCAATATATCCTTCAAACATGCAACAGCTCATGCTAATCACACATAAGAACTTCACTTTAGTAGTTAAGAATTAGATTCCTAGATACTCTTAATACATATCTCATAGTCACCACATGCTCTTTTAGTCAAGCACTCGAGAATCAAGCGTTTTAATATATCTCACTCATAAACATCTCACACTTATACACATTTGTTGAATTAAGAAGAATGAGGGCTTTCTTCCCCTGATATAAGCATGAGGGGAGAACCTCTCATCACTATATGAAGGAAGAAATGGGAGAAGGTGGAGCATTAGTGGAGTGAGTGGGGCATTACGTGGTTAACAGAAGGAAAGTCGAGGGAAAATGGGGCATTAAGAAGGAAGTGGGTTTTTATGGATGGTTCCACTTATAAGTGGGTGAATAGTCATCCCCCTTCTTAAGTGGGACCTTAGTGATGCAACAAATGATGTCATTCTCCACTATTGGGACTCTATATGGGCCCCACAGCAGGACCCATTTTTCAGTTGGGACCCTGCGAGCTCATAATTATTTGTCTTTGGGGCGATGGGTCCTAGTGTGGCCTGTCAAAGAGTTTTTGGGGAGTATAGATTTGCCTTGTCTATCCTCCAGTTCTTTTCTTCCTTTCTGGTAGCTGTTTCTGATTCCATAGAGCTACTTCCTACCTTGATTGGTTTCTTCAGTGGTAATTTCTGCATTCCATCTCTTCTTTCCACCGATTTATCATGCCTTCTCTGTCTTCCTTCTTCTAGGTCTTCAAGGACAGTGTTAGGAGACCTTTCTGGTGCTGGCTGCTGTGTTATTAGTGGAGGATTTAGCATTGGGATTGCTTCTGCAATGGCCATTGGCTTATAGTAAATTTTTAACTACCAGACTCTCACCAGAGACCTGGGCCACTTGGCTCTCTGGTTTCCAATTACCCTTCGACAGTTTTGTAACGGTATTCCCATTGGAAGATCCATGCTTTAATCTGTCTCCTGATGAGGTCATGGTTAGTGACATATTCCCTTTTAGGCCAGTCATCTATGTAAATCACAGGTCTGAAACAACTGCTCATGTTAATCCGAAAAGCGGCCGCCATTCTTCTTCAAACGATAGGGGAATGTGGGAAGGAAGTAGCCTTTTGACTTACTATAGAAGACTTTGAGAGATGTAGAAATTCTTAGACTTGGTTCTTTTCTCGATTGATAGAAGGACGGATCATGTGTGGCGGGCGGAGCATTAGGCTGGAAACAGTATCCGAGGAGGATAAACCAAGACTGGTTTCTTTTGGAATTATTAATGGAGAATACTTCGAAGAATGATTGTTTCTAACTCCTGTATGAGACAGGAAAGTGGGACTGCACAATTGAGAAAGAAAAGTGGCTTTCTTTAATGTCAAATGAATTTTAGGCCTATCAACATAAGCATCAAAAGACTGCACTCAACATTACAAACTTTCAGTTGATCAACATAGCCACTAACTGTCCCACATGGGTTACATGAGGAGAATGAAAAATAAAAGAACAAAATAACAGATAATTAGTCCACCCAGTCAGACCAGACAACTTGAAAATTCTAACTCCAATCTGAAAAGGCCCGTCACTGGTAACAAATCCAAATTCTTCTTTCTAGACACAAATGAAGTGCCCTTCTCATTCATATCCTTTTATTAGAGCAGGAACCTTTCTTTTATCAAAACAAACTTATAAGAGCACAAATGACGAACAAAAGAAATGTTACTACCAAAAATCTATTGTGAATTTGGTCATGGGAATCTCTGCAATTGGCCCTATTTTTATCTAGAAATTACCATTGTTATTTTGGTAAAATCTAAATTTTTTAAATGTTTGCAATTATGTAAAGAAAATATAACATTATTTACATCAACCTGTAAGCAATCAATGTACACCAAACATACAAGCTTGAATGTTCTCTTGTGCCATGTATGCAAAAAAGAAATACAAGTTTTACTTGCTCAATAATATTGATAAATAATGATAGCATCTTGAAGTTTCAGAAGACATGAGCACCAAGTCCCGTATTACGTGGTATAAGAACATCAAAATCACTTACAGACCATTGAGCAGTCTCACTCTTACGACTCACATAAATTTCAGTACCCACGTTAAGCGATGTCCACAGCCTCCTCGCAGGTTTTGTTCCAGGATCCTGAAGTATCCATTAGTTAGCACCTAGATAAACACCTGGCAATGTATGTGCATGTGCACACTCGCACATACAGAGACCATAGAGAAAGAGAGAGAGAGAGAGAGAGAGAGAGAGAGAGAGATGTAAAACTAAACGAAATGTGTACAATAGGACCATTTAACTTTTGGTCTAAGAAAGTCACAATCGTTATCGACTGTTAGTTGTGAAATCAGGTGGTTCATAATATAATTTCGCAAACTGTGTGCCACACTTTAAGTTGTCAGATTCCACATCTGATGGTTAAGGGTGATTATGACCTCTTTGTACCAAAAATGAATGGTCTTATAGTATACAACCTCAAAACTGAAATAGATAAAATTTGCAAAAATTTGAGAATTATTGAGAATTGCTTTATCAATCACCCTATAGGGTCCCACACGCCTTGTAATGTATTACATGAAAGTCAAAACGATTGTTCTACCCTGGGATTAATGAGCCAATTGTTCAATATTTTCCTAAATAACTAAAAAACCCTTAGAATTACATATTTTTTCTGTAGTAAGTATAAGCATTCCAGCAAAACTGGGAACTTTATAGGTTCCAACTGCAACAGAAAGAAAAATGAAGGGTGTTGTCGTTGGATTAACCACATATGCTCATATCAAAAGGGTAGAATGACATTCAACCCAAGAGAAATGCCAGAAATTCTACCATAAAATGCTTGTCATGGTTTCATAAGCAAGATGTCACCTTTGCTTTATGGTGAAACTCAGTCATCGCCTATGGCAATTGATGAATAAAACCCTAGCCCAGAAATCTATAGTAATAATGGGAAAGGGTATGTTTACATCCAAAACATATTAAGCATGTAAGAGACTTCACTAATTCCAATCAGCTAGTGCAAGCGACCTGTCTAGGAACGGTAGAAATGATGGTCAGTATCTAATCTATAATTCATGATAATTTCATAGAACAAATGCAGATCACAACGTCATAAGAATCTTAACCAACAAAACTTTACCAGAGCCACTAGTTATAAGGTCAATACATCCATGAAATTCCTGCAATAGCCAAAACCATTTCACTGAAAAGGAAGATGATTCATTCATGCCCTTATCGCTTTAAAGATAGCAATGATAGTCCTAAAACATTATGAAAGCACTATATATCCAAGAAGAGAGTTAGGGGTAGAAGGTGCCATGGTCTCCATCATCTGAAAGTATTCTAACCAACCAGCCTCTCCAGATCTGTTAGGAATGCATGAGATATTGGCCATTTAAAATGGTCTCTCTGACACTTGAAATTGAATCTATGAAGTTTAGCCTATCTGCTGAGACAATATGACACTAACTCGCAAGGGCCCAAGCCCCATGGGGTTCAAACCCATGTGCTGAATTTTACACTATAGCCAGTTAAGTGGCCTACCAATGAAATCCGATAATGAATTATTCTGTTCGAGAGATGGCCACTGATCCCAGGGGCCGTAATTAAGGTTGTAAGCCATAATCTCTAATGAGGCGTTTACATAAGGCCAACTAAATAGAAAAGAGAAAACGTGAAGACCTGGAAAATGATGACCAGCAAAAATTTTCATTTTAATGGCAAAGACATTTAAAACCAAAGTTTTGGTCGGTAGGCCAGAATAAGAAAATCAAGTGAACCATTAAAGACAGATATGCTAGAAATAAGAACATAAAATTAAACTCATCCAATGAAATACTTTTTCCATGAACTGCTATATCACTTTCTCTTTTGCCAAGCAACTGTTAACCTTGAAACTGTTCGTATATGGGAACAAATATGTCACAAGAAATAATAAGAAGCAATTACTGAAGGGAAAGCTTTCTATATGCCACTAGGTATAGGGATTTCATATATGCCACCCCTCTCCCTACCGTCTGATCAGAATGAATGGCTGAGATGGCCCTAATCATGATGTCATGCCTAAACACTGTTTAGTTTTTAATTTTTTCTGCAAATCATATTGACACCAATTTGGGGCTCCGATCCTCTTATAGAGTTGCACCCACAAAAAATATTACAAAATATTA